TTCTTTTATACTGGAAAATACTTTCTAATTTTGGCAGTGGCATCTGGCTGCTTATGTACTGTTTTTTAAAAAAGTTTTATTATTATTATTTAAAGATTTTATTTATTTATTTATTTGAGAGAGAGAGAGAGATAGCATGAGTCAGGGTGGGGGGAAAGGAAGAGGGAGGAGACTCCCTGCTGAGCAGGGAGCCTGATGTGGGGCTCGATCCCAGGACCCTGGGATCATGACCTGAGCTGAAGGCAGATGCTTAACTGACTAAGCCATCCAGGCACGCCTAAAAACAGTTTTATTGAGATATAATTCACCTACCATATAATCTACACACATGAAGTATACAATTAAGTAGTTTTTAGTATATTCACAGAAATATGCAATCATCACCACAGTCAATTTTACAACATTTTATCACCTCAAAAAGAAACCTCTTGGGGCGCCTGGGTGGCTCAGTCAGTTAAGCATCTGCCTTCAGCTCAGGTCATGATTCCAGGGTTCTGGGATCGAGCCCGCACTGGGCTCTCTGCTCGGCGGGGAGTCTGCTTCTCCCTCTCCCTCTGTGTGCACAAGCGCGCGCTCTCCCTCTCAAATAAATAGATCTTAAAAAAAAAGAAACCTCTTTAGGTATCACCCCCGAATACACAGCCCTAACCAACCACTAATCTTTCTATCTCTGTAGATTTCCCTATTCTGGACATTTCGTAAGAATGGAATAATGTAATACATGGTCTTTTGTGACCGGCTTCTTCACTTAGTATAATGTCAAGGTTCACCCATGCCCTAGCATGTGTCAGTACCTCATTACTTTTTATGGTCGAATAATATTCTATTATATGTATATACCACACTTTGTTAACCATTTGTCAGTTGGACAGATGGACATCGGCTATTTCTACCTTTTGGCTATTTTTAATAACACTGCTATAAATACTTGTGTTCAAGTTTTTGTGTGGACATGTTTTTGTTTCTCTTGGGTATACAGTTGACCCTTGAACAACACAGGTTCAAACTGCATGGTACACTAATGCACAGATTTTTCTTCCATAAATACTTGGGTAAATTTTTTGGAGATTTGTGACAATTTGAAAAAACTTGCAGATGAAATGAATAGTCTAGAAATACTGAAAAAAAGAAAAAGTCAGGTACTATTGTAAATATATGGTATATAATACGTATAACATAAAAAATATGTTAATTTACTATTTGTGTTGTTGGTAAGGCTTCCGGTCAACAGTAGGCTCTTAGTAGTTAAGTTCCAGGGAGTCAAAATTATACATAGATTTTTGGTTGTACAGTCGTTGGCACCCCAACCCTGGTGTTGATCAAGGGTCAACAGTATACCTAAGAATGGAATTGTTGGGTCATGTGGTAACTCTATGTTTAACTTTTTGAGGAACTGCCGACTATTTTCCAAAGTGGCTACACCATTTCACATTCCCATAAGCAATGTACGAAGTTTCCAATTTTTCCACCTCCTCACCAGCACTTGTTATCTGACTTTTTATTTCTAGTCATTCTAGTGGATGCAAAATAGTATCTCATTAGGGTTTACTTAGAGTGGAAATTAGTGAATGGACAATACAAAAACAATTGAGAAAATCAATGAAACCAAAAGGTGGTTCTTTGAAAAGATCAACAAATTGACATACCTTAAGCTAGACTGACCAAAAAAAGATGAAAAATTACTAGACTCAGAAATGAATGAAATTGTTACTGAACTCAGAGAAATAAAAAGAATTATAAAGGAATACTGTAAACAATTATATGCCAACATGTTAGATAACTTAGATAAAATGAATAAATTCTCAGAAAGACACCAACTACTAAACTGACTTGAAAAGAAAGAAAAAGACAGTATGAATAGACGTACAACAAATGAAAAAGACTGAATTAGTAACCAAAAAGCTACCTGCAAAGAAAAGCCCAAGCCCATATGGCTTCACTGCTAAATTCTACCAGACATTTAAAAAAGAATTAACACTAATTCTTCATAAACAATTCCAAAAAAACAGAGAGGTCACACAGTCTTCAGGTGGCAAGGCCAGGATTCAAATCTAGGCCATCTGACTCTACTAGAGTCTACAGTCTTGACCACTATATTAAACTGCCTCTCTGAATAACTGAATAAATTTGAGAACATCGTAAGCCATCAAGTTGTTACTTTGTATTATCCAACCTTTGTAGTTTACCCTGGTATTTATGACTTATCTGGTCTAGAGACAAAAAGGTTGATCTGGGGACCTAAGAGAAAATCATTTACATGATTGACAATGTTGCTGTATCTCATTCATTGAGCAAAAGCATGGCACCTACTAAAGCTCTTTATACATTTTTATTTCAATGACTTCTCACAACAGTGCCATGAGATAGGTACTATTATTACTCCCATTTTCTAGATGAGGAAACTGAGGAGCAAGGCAGTCACCCACATAGCAAATGGCAGGGCCTGAATTTAAATCCCAATCTGTCTGGCCCCTGCGGATCTTCTTTTCTACTATGGAAACCCTGTCCTTTTCTATTCACTCTTCTAGTATGGCCCGTCTTATGCTTGAACCCCCACTCTTGATAGAGAGCTCTTGGTAAGCAGACACCCAGCCTATTATTTACCTGTGTGCCCTCGCTGGCCAACAGGCAGAGAAGGGGTGTGTTCCTTCACTGTCTGCTGACTGAATAAACAACTATCCAAAAGTGACTTAGTAACTCCTCAATTTAGAAACTTCATTCCCTCTCAACTACTACTTAGCATTGAAATGATGAACTGTAGGCTCTCTTACTCTTTTAGCTCATCTAATATTATATAGTTATTATATGTAGTTTAAAGTTATTAAACTCAAAATTTCAAAAAACAAACAAAAATTTCAAAGAATACACACACATACTTATCCCTTGAACTAAAAGCAAGGAAATCAAGGGGATATTTTAAATAAGATTGCTTTTGCACTCCAAATTAACAATGCCTTCTTTTACTTTAGATGTCTCCTAAGAATGCACTTTTTTTTTGTCATGGGAAACAATAGTTGCATTAAGTTAATATATGAAATTCCATTTCCTGAAGGAAGTAAGATATTTGACAGAAAATTTTACCTAGCAAATTTTCTGATTGCATACACAAAACTTAGATTAGCCTATAAATTGCTATAGATTACTACTTTAAGTTCCTATACTAATCTCTTCCCCTAAAGAATTAATGACGACCTCTCGGGCAGTGATCCATACATCAGTCTCCAAGTCAGCTTTAACTGGAAACTTTATCAAATGCAAAATAACCCTAACTCTTTGAAAAACCAACAATGATTTCCAAGGTAATTATTCCTACCACGAGCTAAAGCAACAAATAAACACAAGCACTTTAAACTTAACACTTTCACAGCTCTGATAACCCTTTAAAAAATGGCAATATTAAAAAAAAATTATGAAATCTACCTGCTTTCATCTTCAGTTAATATTAATCACTATTTGCTGGGGGAAGGAGGTGATTAGCCTTAAAGTTAATGGTTGATCCAAAATTTGGAAAATATGCTCACCATTTTTGTTTGTTTAAACTGGCATGTGTGTTCTTACTTTTTAAATTCTTTCTTTAAATGCCCATTTTTTTTGGGTAAATTTGCATCTTTGCCTTAGAAATATGAGTATTGGTTCAAAAGTGTGAATGTGAATCCTTCTAATGGTTCCTGGTTACAGTAGGATGCATGTTATTGGAGGAACTTTGGAAGAAGTGGAACAAAACTAGGTCAGTGTACCATTCGCCAATTACTCCTGTCTTTGAGCCTTGGTTTCCTCACCTATAAAATGGGAACGATCATACCAACTTCAAATGGACTAAAGCCCTTGCATGGTATAGAGTGAAAAGATCTGGCCCTACTACTTCCCTCCTTTACACCTCAAGGTGTCCGAACATACCAGCTACGTCATGCCTCTGTCCCGACCTTACATAGGTTTCTTTTCTTTTCTTTTTTTTTTTAAAGATTTTATTTATTTATCTGACAGAAAGACAGCGAGAGAGGGAACACAAGCAGGGGGAGAGGGAGAAGCAGGCTTCCCGCTGAGCAGGGAGCCCGATGCAGGTCTCGATCCCATGACCCTGGGATCATGACCTGAGCCGAAGGCAGACGGTTAACGACTGAGCCACCCAGGCACCCCTTTACGTAGGTTTCTGACTTAGGGTGCCCTCGTCAGCATCAGCTGCAGAGTTCCTTACCCCACTTCTTTGGGTCTGTCTGACAAATGCTTACTTGTTATTCAAAACCCTCTCCAGGATCATGTTCCTCACATGGGGTTACACTTCTCATCCTGATTTATAATTACTCCTTAACCAGGCTCTGAGGCTGCTAAAGGAGGTCCAATGGCTCATTTACCTCTAGATTTCTCAGTACCTACCCAAATCCCTAGCACATGGTAGTTGGTCAATAATGACTGTAAAATGCACAGAACTGGGCTTTCCACCATACCACAGTATTAACAAAGTATCAAATGTGCAAGAAACTAAGACAGAGCCTTGGAGTTAAAACTATAATCATAAGTTTGATAAGCATTGGATTCTTTTAGGTTTAGGGTTAAGGTGAATTTTTTTTTTTTTAAGATTTTATTTATTTATTTTAAAGAGAGAGAGAGAGAGACAGAAATAGTGACAGAGAGCATGAGTGGGGAGGAGAGAGAGAAGCAGGCTCCTCGCTGAGCAGGGAGCCCGACGTGGGGCTCGATCCCAGGGCCCTGAGATCATGACCTGAGCTGAAGGCTGACGCTTAACTGACTGAGCCACCCAGGTGCCCCAAGGGGAACTTTTAAAGTCACCTTACTGTATGCAGCTAGGCCACCTACTCACGCAAAGAAACATTAGGAGCAAATGTTGTCATTTTTATTTTTTCTTCCGTGGCAGCATCCTGCTTTGGATCTGGATCACATGCTGACTTCATTGGGACTATTTTCAAACAACAGAGCACACTGATGTACTTTTCCTTTCAAAAGCAAGGGTGCCAGCTATTGTGCTAGCCCCTGTCACTCACCTCAGCCACCTGCTGGGTCCCCACTCTGTGCTGAACCAGCCCCTCCATATTTGTAGCCATGGTGAAGCAAGATCATTAGAGAACCTGTTTGGAAAGATGCAGCAACTTCTATCAGGTGGGGAGAAACCAGGCTACTTGAAAAATACCAGAAATCAAAATTCATCTTTGGTACTGTCCTGTGCAGATTCTGCCCTCTACAGAAGACACAGCTACAAGGCTAAGCATATCTGGATATGCTGTGCCAGCTTCTTCAACTACAGGTACCAAAATTAATTAGCAGAAACATTTCAATTTGGAAACAAGACTTCCCCTGGTAAACACAGACAAAGATGAATTTGGAACTTTAATTATCAGGTCTCTTGGGTTGTAACTGCTTGGTTCACCTCTCAGGGAGGTGGGAATCACATTTTTTTGGATAGCTCCCTGTCACAGTATGCTGAAAAAGAAGATGGCTATCTGAGAAAGGTGTGAGATCAGCGTTAGATACGGAGCACTAGATTGCTATCAACAACTATACTTCTTTTACCAGTGGCAATGTGAGAAGCAAAACCCTGTCCAGGCGCTAACACAACTCACTCATAGGTTGAAAGGCAAACACTAGCACTAACCAGGAAAAGAAGGAAGGAGACTGCATTACTAAAGTGCTAAAACGTGGGGTAAAAACGTGGTACCCATAAATTCATCAATTTATATTTAGAGTCCTCATTAAATAAGAAAACCAGATAATTCAGCTTTCTATTAATAGAAAAAATAGTGCCATCATTTGTAAAAATTAAGAAAAATCATCTAAAAACCAAAAAGTGTGCTAGTCTCCTGGGGAGGATCCCTTGAATGCAAGCACTGTTAATGCAACAGACCCCCGTCTCTTCAGGTCTAAAGACACAGCTCCACTGAACAGTCCCTAACCCCCTTCCAATAACTCTTCCACAAAGAATCCAGGATAAAGAGATTCCACTTTGGACCTAATTCCTGGACAAATCAGAAAGACTTTATTACTGATGGCACTGGTCCCACGGTGAATATGAGAAAAAAAGGTCTGGTATAATTTATTTTCAGCAATACATATAAAAACTATACAGTACTACCAACTATATAGTACTACACAAATGCATACACAGTTCATTTGCTTGGCCCTCCCTCGACCATAAACTAGACAATGCAATTTTACAAAACACTTTCACGTAGTTCTTACCTCAAGTATTATACTTGTAAGCCCTGATCTCTATGAAACGTTTTCACCCTCTGGTAATTTTCCAATGATTCTATCTACTATTAAATAGCCATATCTACTAACATAATTCCCCTTCAGATTATTTTATTGCTAAAATAGCAATGAGAGAGAAATGGTGGCACGAAACTGTGACTGACAAATATAAAAGAACTGGCCCCTGCCTCCAAGGAGTCAAAATCCTGTAAGAGTGGGTACTGTACCAACTGCTACAATGAAACCAGGTCACATGTGTCAAAAAACACTCTGGTCTTTTTTTCCCCAGTTACAGTTTGGTTCCAATTAACAGACATGGAAGAAAAAAGCATCACTTCACGGGTACCAGAAAGGTCTATTGACAGTTGTTAAAAACATTATTATTGCATGTTAAAAGTCTAGAGTTCTAATCTTTTTTCTCAAAATAGTAAGTAAGTCTCTAGGAAATCAAATGGGTAGATAGCTAATAGGTATTTTATATTAAGAAATAAAATCCAAATATGCAGCTGCAACTATTAATTTTATCACTTTTAGGTCTTGTTAGTATTTCTGTTGCTGTTATTAACTGCAGTTTGCTGCAAGAAATGTATGACTTTTAATATTATAGAAATATTCTTATGGAAATATTGAGTAGTAGAGAAACAAAAGAACACTAGAAAAGTGTATCTTTCTATTGGGTTTCCCTAAAAACAGGTGGCTTGATTCCTTCAAGTTTTGAGCTGAAGCAGATTTTACAGATGACTGCCTGATAGAGACTTTGTAACTCAGAAAACTTTCTGTAATGATTCCTTTAACATTAAATTTGCAGGACCAATCAGCCTCAGATAAGGCTGATGGGAGGGCCTGTCCCAAGATACTGCTAATAATCAGTGATTATAGATACTAGGTCATAGAGAAATAGTAGTTAACCCGTTCAGCTTAAAAAAGCTAAATATTCTGGATATTCTAAATATTAAGCTAAGTATCTTCTCCTACCCTGTGGTTCATTTGTTTACCTTCTTTATGGTATTTTTTGATGAATGGAAGTTCTTAAATTTAGTAAGGCTGAATTTATCAACATTTATTGTACAGGTTGTACTTTTATGTTTTATTTATGAAAATTCTGTCCTACCCCAGGGTCATAAGCATAATTTTATGTATTTCTTATAAATGTTTAAGAGCTTTGTCCCTGTCCCTCACATTTAAGGCCTCAATCTATGTGCAAGTTGATTCTTGAGTTTGATGAGGAGTAAGGATCCAATTAATTTTCTTCCTGTGTGAATAATCAATTTTCCAGCACCATTTTTGAACAATCTATCCTTTTCCCTACTAATCTGTAATGCCACATCTGTCCTATTTCAGGCTTCCCTGTATGTGTGGCTATAATTCTAAGTTCTCTGTTCTGTTCCACTACTGTTCTACTTTTCTCCATGCCACTACCATTATCTTATTACTGCAGCTTTACAAGAAGTGGTGCTTTCTGTTAGGGCAAGAACCCCCGCCCCCCCCCCCCCCCACCTTGCTCTCTTCTCCACCCACCAACTTCCTGGACCATCTCAAGCACTCAAAACCAGAACAGCAACCTTTCTTTACATATTTGAATTCTTACAATTCTTGATCTCACTGTTGGTTTTCTCCCTCCAAAGCAACTTCAGGCATCATCAACAGCAACTTTTGAAGCTACTTAAAATGAACAAGGAGGAATGTGCACCTTCTGGAAAAACAAGCAGAGACAAAGAGTGAGAATAAAAGTGGGAGAGAGAAAAATGAAAGAGAAACTATGAAAAGCAAGTGCTTTCAATAAAGATTTAAATCGAGTGAGAGCAGGTGAGAGGCTTATTTCAGAAAACTATTTTCCATTTCATCATTTTTGGAAATGTTATCACAAACCATATCCTATCCTCACATATAGATAAGAAAGACAGAGGCTTCTCCTAGGATATCACAATATAAGAAACAAACTGAAATCCTCAGGCAATGTCAAGAAGTGAGGGAAAACATTTAACTCAAGTGCATCCCAGAAAAAAAAAGATAATGTCAGGGGGTAAGACTCTCACCTGAGAGCTTCTCTTCCTGCTACTGCAGCCATAGGCAGTCCTAGAGACAGAAAGATCACAGTGAGCAGGAAGGGTAGTGTGTTTTGGAAAGGGTCCTGGGCAATGGTTGTCAATTAGGGGGTTTCTCCCTAGAATGAGAAGCTCCAGGGGACAGTCGGTTGTGTCTACATGTAGTTTGAAAAACCATATTCACTAGCATAATGTAATTCTGCATTTGATCTGAAAAAAGAGAACAATCTATTGTTTGGATACTATAAATTAAACAAAGCATTAGCGATTCTTGGCTGGTGGAGCTAACAGTAAGCATAACACTGATAGTAACTAACACTTACTGAGTGGTTACTATACTCCAGGCACTGTAGTAATGTGGACAAAACACTAAAGTAGCTCTTGGTAAAGAAACCTGAGGTCTTCAAAGGCTGGTGCTTGACCACTCAGCTCCTTAACCCTTGAAGATTGCCCACATGCACAATAATGCTTCTGAAAAAGAGCCTGATTAGTCGCCAAAAGAGCTGTAAGACCAAGTAGCTTAAGTAAAAAAAGCTACTACAGAGTATTTTCCTATGGTGGTTTTAAACTAATCAAATTCAAGACCACCAAACCTTTTAAAGCAACTGCTGTGAACTAGGCAGTGAACTAAGAAGAAGGAAGAAGAGGAGGAGGAGAAGAAAGTCCTTGTCCCTGAAGAACTTAAGAAGGGACCTGTAATAGCTATACAATGTAAATGCTACAATGAGTAGCCAAAGGAAAAAGCTTCTCTCTCTGCCTGCGGGAGCCAATGACAGTTTCATAGGAGAGGAGCTATTTAAACTAGGTCTTGAAGGAAGAATGGAAATTTAGCAAGCAAGGAATGGGATGACAGGGAGAGAGTTCTAGGCAGAGGGAACAGCTCATACAAACTGGCAGGTATGAAGGAGAACGGCATATTCGAAGAACAGCAGACAGTCAGGTGGGAAACTGCTGGAGAGGTCAGGGGAAGAGAGGCTGACACTGTTGACAACAAAGAACTACCAGAGGTTTGTCAGAGAAATGAAACAATCACATCTGGATCTTAAAAAAACAAAACAGAACAAAACAAAACAAAACAAAAACCCCTTTGGGCAACAGTGTGGAGAGATGGAAAAGGAGAGACTGTATGTGGGAAGGCAGTTAGAAAGTGGTGGCTAGAAAGACTAGGAATGAAGGCAGAGTCTTAAACTTAACTTGAACTAGTGAGTTTTTCCTGTACTGCACACAAATGACAACAGGGCACAGCATATAAAACTGTGATACTGGGGCGCCTGGGTGGCTTAGTTGGTTAAGCGGCTGCCTTCGGCTCAGGTCATGATCCCAGGGTCCTAGGATCAAGCCCCACGTCGGGCTCCCTGCTCCGCGGAGAGCCTGCTTCTCCCTCTCCTCCCTGCTTGTGCTCTCTCTTGCTAAATAAAATCTTTAA